GGGATTATACAGACCACAGAGAATAAAACTTACTCTGGGATCATCTGTTGGACCATATCTCTTCACCACCTGCCCTTCCTTGTTTATAAGGAACTGCAGGAAAAAAAAAAAAAAGTCAAAATGTGATCACTGGGATAAACAAAAGGCCATACAGAACAAAACTTGAAATGGTTTACCTTTGTGAAGTTCCATTTAATGGCACTGTAATGGAAATAGGGAAGAGAAATACTTTACTGAGAAAAGTTTTAATTCACAATGAAATAAACAAAAGGCATTGATATTTAAGAGAATGGCCGATTATATCTAGAATTACTACATATCCCAGTCTTGCAGTATAGTATACCATTTTTAAGTACTGTATATGATGCTGCAAATTGTGAAAAATGTTGGAAATAATGATGTTAAGAATGAACAATTCCATCTATGATCATCTATAATCAAACAGCTAGCCCATGATTAGGGCAAAGTTTTAAAAAAAGGGACATAAAATAGGAAAACAACTCACTTTCCGAGAAGCCCCTTCCCTTTAGGCTGCGCCTTCATCCACTTCCACAGGGGGTGTGCGTTGTCTCCATTCACTTCGATCTTACTGAAGAGGTCAAACTCAACATTGTAGCCATGAGCAAATTCTTTGATCTCTGCGTCAGTACCAGGCTCCTGAAGGGCAGGCACAAAGAGAAACGGTTCAATATTTACCAGATGAGGAATGTCTTCAAAATTTAACCAATTAGATAAGAGATAAAGATTTCCACACAAAGTAAAGAAGCAGGAGTGTTAAAAGTTCAATGGTCTGCTTCTCACCTGTCCACCAAACTGGTTACATGGGAAGCCCAGGATACGTAAACCTTTCTCAGCATAGGAGGCGTGCATCTCCACCAGCTGAGTGTAGTTTACTCTGGTCTTTCCTCATTTAGAGGCAACGTTTACAATGACGCACACGTTCCCCCTGTTAGACAGAAGTGAAGAAAACCATAAACACATAGTTGAGCTGCGTGCATGTGACTTTATACTGGTCACATAGGGCATGAACATGGTCACCCACATAGTTCATGATGTAACTGTTGTTCCTACACACACATTACCGGTATTTCTCCAGTGACACATCATTCCCGTCAATATCCTTGGCCGAGAACTCGTAGATGGATTTGGCGCTTTGCCAGTCTCCCACCTGAGCACACTGCATACAGCAGAACATGGCAGAAAAAGTGACTGCGTATGACAGTTAAAGACTGGAGGAAATGATGAGGTTAAAGTACACAGAAGTAGACCAAAGGTCACACATTACTTGTGACCTTTGGTAATACAAGAACGACTTCCTATTATTGCTGGTGTGGTAATCCACACTAAATTATCATACTTTTATTGTTGTTGTAGTTTAAGATATAAAATAATCTTGTTACGGCTATTTTAAAAACAAAAGGCACGATGAAGTCACAGTGCAGGCTTAATAGGTCTTAGGGATTATGTGCCCTTGCTCTAAATGTTATCGAATTACGTCAAGTGAAATAATTAGCTTCAACTTGTTTAGCTTCATCTTATCTATACGAACAAATCGAACTATACGCCTTATATACCAAAGCAGAGATAAATGGAATACTGAAGACAAAGCACGGGATAAAAGGAATGAAACGGAGAATTAATTCATTTAGTGGATGTTTTCTTGTCTTGCATGATGTTAACTTCCATAGCCGAAGCCTGCTAATCACTTATATCTTAACGTACAACAACCCGAGCAACACAAGTCACGCCTTTATTGGCCACGAACCTCTGAGAAAAAATTACTAACGTTTACGCATTTCTTCACGCCGTAAAGGATGTTTGTATGCGAACAAGAAGCATCTGTTTCTCAAACAAGATGCTAACAAACGCAGTTATACACCGTCGGACCTATTTGTCTGTTGCACCTCATTTAAAAATAGGCATCTTTAACGTCGACAAGTTGTTGGCTTTATAAGACAGAAAGGAAAATAAGACATTAACGCGAGCCTCTGAATAAAGCACGAAAATAAATAAATAACACGTATATCAGGAGGTAGTTTTGCTTACCATGGTTCGCAGTAAACCACGACTCCCAGCTAACCCTAACACAACTGCTGTACTCAGCAAGCGCATAACGGACACTTTTATGACGGCAGTTGTCACGTGACTCCAACGAAGTAGGTTTCACGGTGGATTGTACGTTCGTCCTTTTATAAAACGTGGTGACGTGGTCAACCATGCAGAATAATGAAAAGTGCATAGAGAATCGGAGAATATGCTGCAGACCTTATACGTCGCTTTTGCTAAAAGCAGAGCACTTGAGTGTTTTTCCTCCAACAATTGTCTGCCAAGGAGACGTTGCTAATACAAAAGGAATATATTTGTTTAATGAAAGTGGTAATTGTTATAACATGTTTTTGATGGTTAATTGTTAATATGTAATTGTGTAATAATACAATTACAAACAGTTTGGTCTGGAATTACATGTCATGGAACAGCACAACTGGTTTTCAATGCAACAACGTGTAGCAGTACGAGCGTTTTTGTCTTGTTTTTCCCCTCGCTCTTTCTGTTGACTGTTGCTATGGTTTCCCTTCCTCACTTCCGCCAGTTGTTGAGGTAAGCCCACCGGGTATTCCTCTGCGCTCGTCACTCGCGTTACTTCCGGGTCAGAGGTCGTGTGCCCGACAGGTATGGCTGCCCGCTGCTTCACCTCGCTCGTCGTTTTGTTTGTTCTTATACTTAAGGTATTTGTAATTGTTGTTGTAGGTGTTTGTGTGCTGCTCCGTGCTCCCTGTGCGCTGCTGGGGTCGTTGGCCGGTGGTAAGTGTGGTTTCTCTCAGCGTTGTTCTTGGTGCTGCTAGGTGGTTAATGCTGGTCTGGTCACAGGTGGATGCTGGCGGCTGGAGTCCAAACCTTCCTCCTCATGAGTATGTGTGTTCTGAGAAGGTATGCACAGTGTTACGTGCCACTGCATCAATCTTAGTGCATCTAGCACATGCTAATAGTGTTTTCCTTTTGACTAGGTGTTGTAACCACCTCATTGGGCCGCTGCTGCTTTGTTTGGTGTTATTTTGTGCTGCTTTTTTTGGTGTTATTTTGTGCTGCTTTGTTTGGTGTTGTTTTGTGCTGTTTTCACTGTATTGCCGTATATCTGTTGCTGCCAAGATACACACTGTGCAGGACGATTGTTCGGTCCTATGCATAAGCATTTTTTCTTTTATTGGGGACTACCCCACTAATGTGCTAGTCTTTTTCCTCTTCAGTTGCTGTAGGCCAGTGGGGGCGGGGCTGGTGACCTGGAGGGGGTGTCCTCCCGTCGGATCTTGCTGTGTCCCCTGGACTGGGTTTCTTCACTGAGGGTGTGTTTGCCACGTGTGCCTGGTCACTTAAGTTATTTTTGCCTTATTTTGGAGGATCTGGCCCCTGCACTAGCCCTTGCCCATCCACTTCGGCCTCAGCCCTGATTAGGTTTCTCTTTTATTTTATGTGAATGAGTTTTACGGAGTATACTTTTTAAAAACAAATGTTGAATAAAATTTGTATTTTCAAACTTTGAACCACGTCTCTTGCCCTCCACTAACCACGAACCTTTGTTCCTTGTGTTTGAGCAATTCCCTGGGTGAAGTTCCCAGGGTGGTGTTGTCAAGCTTTTCCCTCCTTAATAATGGTCACGTAACTTTTCACCCGCCCCCACCCCACAAACGTATATATAGTCTCTTAATCTATCAACAATCTGAAACTAACATGAATGCAACACTTTACGTTATCTAAGAACTTTGCAGTAACTGCCTTCAAAACCTATGCTACATACAATTACAGTCGGTTGTGCTGTTTTGGCCAGTAGACGGCGACATTGTGCATAAATAAAATTTAAAAAATAAATAAAAACAGCTTATTTGCTCAAAATGAAAGAACAATACTGGGCCTTGAATAAATAAAGTGTGTTTGGGGATTGCCAAACAACAACGATCATAAATATTTCATTATTATTATCATCTAATTGTCTATCTTTTATTGAAGGTGATGCCTTTTATTCCTATCTATACAGTCACCAGGGGTAAATAATGTGTCATCACTTTTCTTTTGAGGTGTGATCTGAGGTCTGAGTTTGTGTCTGGACATGTCTCTACCTCCTTAATCCACAATGGAAACTCCCCTCCAGAAACGCTGTGGATAATTGAAAATCTAATGAAGCCCAGCACACTTGTCTCCTCTGTGCCTTGCATTGACTAAAAATCGGTTGCATATTGTTGTCACTAATCCTATAGGTGAATTATATATAAAGTGATTTATATAAAAAACAATTTGTTATAATGTGCATAAATAATTTACAATAACTTTATATATAATATAGGTCTACATTTTATATATAATGGTTCCAAACTTGCTCATTTAACAATAATGCTTTGGAGCATCATTAATAACTCTTTGGAATATTATATTATATTAATTTAATTATAGTTGTTTGTAACTTTACATTAAAAACTTGATATTTAGACTTGTTTTGAACTGTGGATTTACAATATCCAACTAAGAAGTACATTTAAGAATAAAATAAAAATGGAGGGCAAACATGTTTTAAACCCACCACCTTTAGAAAACAAAATCCTGTTATATTTTTAGTTACATTATACTTTATTTCTTGACATTTTTACATAATTAATAATTCATAAATCATCATTTTTAGATGTCACTTATCCAAATCATTTGGATAAGTGACAACTAAAAACAGGTGAAACACATACATCATATCTGTGAATGTTGATTTATCCTGATAACTCATGTTCCATAGTTATTGGTTTACCTGTGATTAATCCACAGCTCCCCTGTCAGTACTCAGATTAATCGTTGCAGCTCAATACCGTGATGCCCCACAAGGTGGCGAGGTCTCCCGTCTTTGAGTGCCTCATCTAAATTTTGCACAAACTTTCAGCTCATTCTTCCACTTTCCACATCTCTATAGATGTAGATGATTTAAATGTCTTTAAATAAATGTCTGACTGTCTTGTTCCATCTAGTTGAGAATTCTACAAAGTGATTCTGACCATCACGCCGTGTTGCAGTGCATGGTTTTGGATAACGAGGGCAAACAACTGTCAGGGATAATTAAAGGGATGCTGCGTGCTATCTCCCGCTGTTAGAGGTGGCAGTGGGTTGTTCTCTAACACACACACACACACATGCTGACACGCACAGTGTGTGTGCTTGGATAATGTGGAGGTCATGTCTTCCAAGAGAGAGGCTTTTAATTAGACTACGACAAAACACAGAGTCCGCCACAGGTTTCCACCTGAAACATCCTGTAGAAAGCTTCCATTTAACCATCGCACACACACACACACACACACACACACACACACGGCTAATTAAAAGTCAAATCACAAACATCAATGTACGGTAGTGTGACGGTGGACGAGTGGGTGGAAGAGGCTTTGATTAAGTGTTGCTTTGTCTTGACTGTCAAAGGGAGTGTACGTACACACAGATACAGTAGATCTGCTGCAGAGGGGGTCCTGTCACTAAATACTGGCAAATCTGTTGCTGTTGCACACACACACACACTCAGATACATTCAGATGCACAAATTCAGCTTTAATTAAACGGATGACGGTGATAAGGTCACACGCTGACATTTCCAAACCCTGCCTGACAGACGTAAGTCATCCTGACAACAGATGGGCTATTGGTGGGAATAATAATATAAGTATATTTGGGTGAAGTAATATGTTATTCGATACCTGCTGCCATCTAGTGACATCAAGTAAAATTATATCAATGATCAATTCATTGCAATGGCTGACACAGAAAGAATTAAATCAGTCTTAACTGTGTTTTTAACAGTTTTTGGGGGGCCAGATTAGAAAGCCCAATGGGCCATATCTGGCCCACGGGCCATAGTTTGCTCATGTCAGCACTAGAGGCTGAGGTTGGAATCCATGATGACATTTAAAAAGAGGAATAGATGTGGAAGAATTAAATAGTTTATTTGTGGACTAATATCCTCAGTAACACTGGAAAAGACTTTATCACCCATTAAATTTCAGGTTTTTCTTTTTTTTTTCTCCAGGAGATTTACATTTTTGTAGTTTTTTCAGAAATTTAAAGAAAGTTATATTTAAAATGTGATACAGTATATTGTTGGTGAAACATTGTCATGTAGTTGCCTTGTTGTACAAACAGCAGTGTACAGGGGCTATAAAACCAAACCTCTGCATCTAACGTATGTAACTAAGTCTTACACACTGACTCCTGAAAACAGAGGCAGATACAAACCACTGGGTTAATTATTTTATGTCATGTCCTGTCTGTGTGAGCGGTGTGTGCGTTTGATCTTGGGAATTTTACTGACAAACCGCTGCTTATTTTTGTTCTTTTGGAAAAAGAACAAAGTAGTGCTTTTTACTGATTTTTTTTATCATCACTGAGTTATGTTGGCTTGTACGCTAGAGAGTCAGTTAACCCTGCCTCGCTGATATCATATTTGTGGAAAAGCATAATGAACAGGAGGAGACAGAAAACACCGGAAAAAAACAAGTTTCATATTAAAAGAAAAGACGAGAAAAAACAGTTGCCTAGGAACAACCTCCTCTAAACCTGATTCCTCTCATCACCACCACCTCCATGATGCTTTAACACACACACACACACACACAGGCACAAAGACTTGTGCACCATAGGAGATAAAATCATCATGCTTCAAGAAAAGTTAGACTTATTTCCCCACTGTTCCTTAGCAACAAGTTTGCTATTTTTCTCCTGATGTCGTATCTGCGTCTGCTCCGCTGGAGATTAACAGGAATCAGGAATCAGGAAAAGTTGACCAAAAACTTTAGCTTCTGAGAAGTTGCATTTTAATCAATCAACAAGCTGGTGTAAAGTCACTGAGAAAAAGGGAGTTGAAAAAAATTAAAAACTGTTGTAAATATTATTATTATTAATATTTTTATTATTGACAATAACAATAATAATTATACAATTATACAATTACAATTATTATTGATATTATTATTATTATTATTGATATTACTATTATTATTATTATTTGTAAATTGCAGAGTGAGTGGTTCATCTACATGAGCAGCAGCCAATTTGCCCTCATTTCCATTCATTAGCAGGCACACGGATGACTGTGTAATTAGTCCAGGTATGTATATCGTCCCGACGGTACCTCAAAATCAAATTAGTACATTGCTGTCGAGCACCATTGATCTGAACACCTACACCTACACACTGGCACATCGTTGCATATTTTCAACAGTGTAACAAAGGGAGTGTAAGGAAAACAGATGGCAGTCTATATTTGCATTCGCAGAGAATCTTTTACATTTAACCCTCTCACTCTGAGGGGCTTGGTTGGCAAGGCAACACATTCTGCAGCATGTTCCCTTGACTGCATCTCAATAGTCCAGATCAGCCTCTGTACCCCCCCCCCCCACACTGGCCCCTTGCCCCCCCCACTCTTCAACCAGGCAGACCTGCCACATGTTGAAACCCATATGATTACCTACAAACACAAACAGCATCGTTCACCCATTCATAAGTTCAACCTATTTTGAGACCGTTTCCATCTATAACAGTGGTCAGGTCTGGATATATAATCTCTGAAACCCACACAGTTGACTTGTTCATGTCATTGGAAACATGTAAACACCTGTAGAGGTCACTAGTCCTTCCCTTTGTGACATATCGAGACAATGTAGTGACCCTGATGAATGGACGAACACTGTATTTGATCATCTGTCTACTTCTAATGGAACTGTTGCTGAACAATCTATTTACTATTTCCTCCACAGACAGTTTGTCAACGACAGTATTGTATAACCTGATTAATGTAAGTGATTTCTGTGACTCCATCCAGAGGGAGAACTGAAGAAGAAGAAAAACATTCACCAGTTCTCTGGGGACAGATGAAGTTCAGAGCAGAACTGAGTAAAGGTCTCAGAGGGAGAAAACACTAAAAAGCTCTCAGCGCCGCCTGGAGTTGAGCCCGAAGTTGTAAAAGCATGAGTCTAAGTGTCAGACAAAAGGTTTTCTGGTCTGATGAAACAAGATCCCAAGTCTCAGCTGTAATTGAAAGTGCTATGTCTGGAAGAAAGCAAGTACAGCTCATTAACCATTTTACATGAGCCCCGCTGTGAGGCGATGAGGTGGCAACATCGTGCCAGCAGCAGCAGCAGCAGCAGCAGCAGCAGCAGAGTGGGGAACTTGAATAATATCAAAATAAATGGAATTTTTCTGAAAATCATCCTCCAGAGAATTAGATTTGGGTGACAGATGAGATTAGAGCAGGTTGATGTTGTGTTATTGTGAGTCAGAACAGTTCAATGTGATGAAATAAGCTGTTGTTTCCATATTTCCCTCAGCAAACTGTTAAATCTTATGTTTAGTGTTTGAATAATGACCTTTAGAATAAAAAAACAAAATTTGAATAATTATTTTTCTCTCAGGGCCATATGGTAGAAGAGCGGCCAGAGCTGTTGCCCTAGAGGTCACTAATACCCCACCTGGAGTCCTCACTAATGAGGTGGGATTTTTTTTAAAGGGGTCAATTATA